TCCTTTGGTTCATTTTTGAAGCCTTCATTTCTTTTGAATTTTCTTCCTTTGTTGGGCTTCATTAATTTTCTGAACCGTTTGGCAAATAATGTTATCTCTTCATCATTATCATCATCATCAGAATCACTCTCATCTTTTGTGGATTTGAGAGCAACTCCAACGTTCTTCTTTTTCTCCGTCTCATTCTTTATCTCATCCTTCTTCTCAAGGTCTACCTCATCTTGAATCATCATTTCATGCGTGAGGAGAGAAACGATGAGTTCATCGAGAGTTAAAGACTTTAAATCTTTAGCTTCGATAATCGTTGTCTTCTTTGATTGCCAAACTTTTGGAAGAGAATAAATTATCTTCCTCACTAGCTTCTCGTTTGGAATGATTTCTCCATATGCCTTGAGGCCATTGATAATCACAGAAAATCTATCCGTTATAGCTTTTATGTCTTCATCCGGTTTCATCCTGAAATTTTCATAGCTATGAGTAAGAAGACTGATTTTAGATTCTTTTACCTCGTTTGTGTCTTCATGAGTGAGTTGTAGTTTATCTCATATCTCCTTGGCGGTTGTACAAGATGAAATTCTTCCGTATTCATCTGGTCCAAGTGCACATAAAAGAATATGGATAGCCTTTTAGTTGAGCTGGAACATTCTTGTCTCTTCTTCACTCCATAATTTTGGATGTGTGGATGGTTTAGAGTATCATTTCAATACGATTTTCCATGCTCCCATGTCACTAGCTTGAATGAAGTATCTCATCCTATTCTTCCAATAAGTATAGTTAGCTCCATTGAAGAAAAGAAGCTTGTTGACGGGCTGAGAATCAAGAATGAAGTCAAAGTTTGATGTGGAGGCCATTGATGACTTGAATATTGATATAACTCTTCCTGAATTGACTCAAGAGGTGGTAAAACCTTCAATTGAGTGTAGCTCTGATACCAATTATTGAGTTAATCGATCAGATAAATTGACCAAAAGGGGTGAATTGGAAATTAAAACATCGGTGGAAGCTTTTACATAAAATTGAAAATATTTGTACAGAGATTTAGAGTGGTTCGACTTTCTTAACCAAAGTCTATGTCCACTACCTTAGCTATCCACACTAAGGATTTCCTACAAATTCACTAATTTGTCTTTCTTTTGAGGACAATGAGTAACCTTACAAATCCCTCAAGAATTATACCCCAAATTCTTGAGAACACTCTCTCCCAAAGAGAAACTTACAAATTTCGCAAACTTACAGAAAAACCTCACAAGGCAAGATGTTTGCACAATTCTAGAACAAAGAAAGGACACTCAAGAATAAACACAATTGAGCACAAATGGTGTTCTTGAAAGCAAAATGAATATTGAATGGAAAATAAGTTTGAATTGCTCAAACTTGATGTTTAAGGCTTTCTCTTTGATTCTTTCTTAATTATTGTTTCTTGTTCTTCATCAATGGCTTCAGAACTTGTTTAAATACACCTTGGATTGATTCTGAACGTTGGGGATCATTGGTGAAGTCAATAGAGCCGTTATAGTGTGAATACCATTTAAAAAATCTGTTGGGAGCGTAGGGGTATTGGTACACCTTCAAAGGGTATCGGTACACCCAATGTAAAATTCAAATTATTCGACTGTTATTTGATCAAGTATATCGGTACCTCCCAGGGGTATCGGCACACTAATTGCATTCAATGTTTCTTGGAGCCAAATTTAACATGAGGGGTATCAGTACATTAGGATGTGTATCAGTACCCTTGTTACATTCGAAATTTAGAGGTATCGGTACATCCTAAGAGTGTACCAGTACACCCCTATTTAAAATTAATTTTTGGCTCGATTAAGGTTTTAAATACTTTGTAAAAATTATTTCAAAAATATTTTAAGATTGAAACACAATTTTACACTTAACTAAGGAGTAAAATTGACATTTGAAAACTTGGAGTAATATTTTCGATATTCGATTATTTTAATTGAATATTATTTTTGAAATCGAATATAAAATCTTAATATTAATTTACTCTTTGTTTGTTATATCGAAACATCAAAATGTTTTCAACATATTCTTCCTTCGGTTCACCTCGGTTTGAGATGGAAGTTTACAGTGTGATTCCAAGCATCCCATAGTTTTAGCAGTTGGCTTATCTACTTGTCTATCTCTTGGAAGTGGGCTTCAATATGAATTTGGAATTTTTCCTAAAAAAGAGCCAACCTCTCGATGGTTGATTCTAATGATGACTTTTGCGGATGTTGGGGTGGTGAAGGTGACCTTGATTGATAAGCTTGATTTAGCCTTGAGTTTTGAGCGTAACTAATATTTGGATGATCCCTCCATCCTGGGTTGTAAGTATTGCTATAGGGATTATAAGCCCTTTGGGGAGGTCCTTGAAAGTTCCCTACTGCATTAACTTGAGCCGATGTGTCATCTTGAATCAGTGGACAGTCGTTTGTGGATGATCAGATAATGCACATATTCCACATAATCTGTTGGGTCCTATTTTTCTTGCAACGAGATAGTTGAATACTTCAGTTAATTTATCTATCTTACTTTCTAAGGATGATGAACTTATCTCATGATCCCTTTGAGGAGGTTAATTAGTTGGGCAAAACTGTTGAGAATTTACGACCATCGTGGAAATTAAATCCATAGCCTCAGTAGGGGTCATGTTCACTAAAGCTCATCCGCTGACAACATCGATCATCTTCATTTCCAGGGGAGTTAATCCTTCATAAAAGTATTGATGGAGTGTTTGCTCAGTTAACCTATGTTGTGGGTAATTAGCACATACTTTTCAAATCTCTCCCAGTAGTCATAGAGTGACTCTCTCTTATGTTGCTTGATTCCAAGTATTCTTCTTCGTAACTCACTTGCTTTTGCAGCAGGAAAAAACATATCAAGAAAAAGTCGAGTCATTTGAGCCCATGTGGTAATAGAATTTAGAGGTAAATAAAACAACAATTCTTTAGCCGAATTGGCTAAGGAAAAAAGAAAAACTATAAGTTTGATTTGGTCCTCAGTTACTCCTTGTGGTTTCATGCTGGAGCAAACCATGTGGAATTTCGTGAGACTTTTATGTGGATTCTCGTTTGGTAATCTGAGAAAGGTAGGGAGGAGATAAATAAGGTAAGTTTTTAACTGGTATGGAGTTTCGCCTTGGGGAAAATCAATGCACAAAGGCTCTTGTTCAGTAGGAGTCGCGAGTAACTCTCTGATAGTGGGATCGACCATCGTATTTAGTTTTGTATTAGCGGATTCACTTGAGCTTGATTCTGAATTTGATTCTAGATCTAATTATTGTCTCTTTTTTTCTTGAAGTGTCTGTGCCTGAAGTCTCCGAGCTCTGGCTTCGATTTCTGGGTCGTACTCCACTAATTCGCCCGAGTTTGTCTTGGTCATTAATCAATAGCAAACAAAAAATAATAGTAACTTTGGCGAATTCCCCGACAACGACGCCAATTTGACAACTATCATTTTGATGTCAAAATAAATTCCTTCTTCCCAATAGAATATAAGAAATATGCAGTAAAGAGAATAAGGGTCTATCCTCAAGGACTTAGAAAATTCCTAAATTTCTGTTTGAATTGCTTAAACCAAGCGATAAGTAGTAAATAAAAAGGGGGTTTTGATGAAAACGATTGAATAAGGAAAAATAATTTAAAACGGAAATTAAGAATGTAAACAAAGATTTGAAAAATAATTATAGTAAAAAGAAGCCTCAGGCCTCGCTTTGATTCAATTCGTTTATGATTATCAAAATTGGATTTTCACTTCGAAATTCACGTCGGTTATAGTCTACAAAGCATTATCCATGTAACTTGCTTTTCATTTTGGTAACCGATTTTCCAAAAGTCAATCTTTGGAAATCCAACTTTTAATTGAACCAACCATGACAATCATCGTTAGTGCAAAAAACAGTTTTAGTTTAGGAAAAGTCCGACTCGGATTATGTTGTCACTTTAAGAATCGAACCCGATCTCAATTTCCCTTTGCAGACTGCCGCTAAGTGTGTTCACAGGAAGTCGGATTTGCTATTTACATATCTTTCCTCCCAAGTTTAAATCAAAACAACATCCTCACCAACGTCGACTTTTTGAAAAGAAAGTGTTTTGATTTTAAAATGATAGGTCAATTACCTACCAAAGTCTTTCAGAAAACTGAGAGTGACATCCTGAAGATGTTAAGAGATTTTCAATTTTCACATATTGAATTGAGTCATCGCTTAGCATTTTAGCTTATAAGAAATTTAGTTAAACATAACAAATAAAACTTAAAAACTTAAAAATAAAACTTAAAATAAAATAAAAATGAAAACTTGAAAAGAAAAGAACGAACTTTATAAAACTAGAAACAATAATAAGAGTGAAATCTGAATTGTATTTTTAGGCTTGTCCCAAGAGGGTATTTATAGCCTCTAAAATCATAGAGATAAACATAGAAATTAAAAGAAAAATTAAATTCCAATTTTAAAATTAAAAATAAATCTCCTAAGATATCTCTGTTCGTCCACATTCCAGAAGGTGCTGGCTAGATCTTTTAGAAAACTGCTGCTGACTGGACCTTTTAGAAAATGTCGCGTCAGACTGTGTCATGCCCAGAGTCGCTCATGTCTCCAACCCTGACCAAATAATAAAAAAATACAGAATGCTCCATTTTTACTGCTAATTTTGGAAAATAAGATCTTGCACGAAAATAAGCATAATATAATCAAATCATCAACAATAAATCCATAAGATAAAAGAATAGACAAACAAATATTATCGATTTAAAACACTAATCAAACAATAACTAGAAAAACTTAAAATAAAAAAATAAATTTTATATCAAATCAAATTTTATTCCTGTACGAAAATAATCGAAATTTAGATAGATCGATCAATTTACTAAACACGAACAATGTTGTTTTTTTTAGTAAAAGGACCAAAATATAATATTCCACTTCGTGCAGGACTTCTTTGGTGCTTTACCAGCTTTTTTGTGAGATATGCTGAAGATCAATCTATAAGCTTCAGGAATCTTAACATAGATGGGAAGAGAGAAAATGAAAAAAGAAATCCAAAAAAAGTAAAGAATGTTGCAACTTCAATTCTTATCTTCTCCTCCGGTCTCTGCCCAAACTTCAAAATTCAATACAATCTCCAACCCCAAGCTTTTTCCTTCTTTCTCTTCTCTCAAATCCCTTCAAAATTATGCCTTTAAATTTAATACCCTCTCTTTGACCTCCAAACCCTCCAAGTTTTCTCTCAAATGCGGCCAGTCTGAATATTTCGACCAGAAACAGAGGTTTAATAACTCTTCGTCTACTTCACCGCCTCCATCCTCAGGTTTTAAGAAAACAATGTGTTTAAAGCGTTTTTTTAGTGGCTTTTCCCCAAATATTTAAAGTGTTTTATTTCGCAGCAGGATCCCCGCCTAGGTATTACGTAGGTCATTCGATTTACAAAGGGAAAGCTGCTCTTACTGTGGAACCCAAGGCCCCTGAGTTTGTTCCTTTAGATGTATGTTTCATTCAAAGTTTTATCTTTTTTAGGTTATTTTTAAAATTTTTGAAACTGTAGTTATAGTTGGAAATGGTGGATGTTTTGATGGTGTTCCTTTGTTTTGTACAGTCAGGGGCATTTAAAATATCCAGGGAAGGATTTGTACTGCTACAGTTTGCACCTGCAGCTGGTGTTAGACAATATGATTGGGGCAGGAAGCAGGTGATCTTTCGCTAAATTAGCTTTCAGTTTAATGTTTTTGATAAATAACTTGGACATTTTGGGTAATGGTGTTTCCAATCTTCGAAGAAATGCATGGTTCAAATACTAGGACGGAGCAAAGGTTTTTTCCCCCCAAATGTTGTTTATAACTCTTTATTGATTTGAATGTCTGGAAATTCATGATTTTGGTCTCCACATTCAGATGTATACCATAAATCAAATGTCAAATATTTGTGGTAAAGGACAAATGCATACTAGAGACATGATATGCAACCATTGATGATTTGCTTTTCCAGGTGTTCTCGTTATCAGTCACAGAAATTGGAACTCTGATTAGCCTCGGCACAAAGGAATCTTGTGAATTTTTCCATGATCCTTTTAAAGGGAAAAGGTACTATCCTCCCCCTTCCCTCACCCCCTATCTGCAAAACTCCTTTCTATATCGAATGCTAAGGTTGGTAATTGAACTATTCCTCGCAACTGCTGAAATATTTTGTATCCCCGGTCCCATATTGGTTTTGCGGTTTCTCATATGTTCATGTGCTACATCAAAAGTAGATGCTTATTGAGGATCAATGATTCCATAAGACAAGCCATAGATTTTTTCCTATAAGAAAAGTTTTCTTCTATAGGGGGAGGAATGTTTTTATATGAAAGATACCATGTTTGTCTGTGGACCATTATTGCCTTAAGTAAGTTAAAGCCTAGAAATGCTTCTGATTCAGTATTTCTATTAATCGTGGAAGTAACTGTTAATATTATGCTTTTAAAGATTGAGTTACTTCCTGTACTTATTGATGGCAAGTTTAGTTTTTTTTTTGATAAATATGAAGATCTCATTAAAAAACCCCTTCATAACCGTCAAACAACAAGAGTGTCTCAACGGACATTGGAAGGAGGAAAAGAGTGCCTTAAAATTTTATTGCATAAATACCAAGTACAAGAAGAATACAATACCACCAATACCCATAGACAACCATCTCAACAATGAGCTACATTACACTACATAGACCACAATGAATCACTACATAGATACAACAGTGACCATACCCTGTTCAAAAACTATATCCTAAAAACATTAGACCAAATGCAAACATAACACAATTACCAAAAATGCCAACAAACCCCATTACAATAAACTCAATGCAACAAACAAATTCCATCCACTTAGCCTATCCCCAACTTAGCAAATTCATTCGCTTCCTAGTTAACTGCTCTCAACACATGTCAAACAATGACACCTTTGTTAACCACAATCGAGGCGATATCTTTAACTATGGACATAAACAACGGGGTGGTGGCAGCATGATTCTTTATTGCCACAACACTATTGGATTCCAAAATAAGCCTTCGATTCGCCGACATCCCCGACTACAAAAAAAGAATCAACTCTCTCTTCATTGCCAACAATTCTGCCATAATAGGAGGGCCATAACCAACTCTTTCTGAGAACGATCCCAAAACCACATCTTTCTCGTCTCTGAGCAACCCACCGATGCCACCTTCAACCATAATCTGTCCATAGGCGAAGACCAGCTCACTAACTTTGAAGGGATCCTTTCAGAACTCGAAAAACGATCAGCTAATGCAAGATCCCCCACTAGGCTATCGAAAGAAACCATCCATTTTGGAAATTTTGAAGTAAACCATGCTGCCACTCTATACCTCGTGAGAAAAGATAACATGGCAAAGTCCAGTTTCCCCTTGTTAAAAACAATCTCATTCCTCATTTTCCAAATCAACCACAAAACAGCTCCTGGGATGAACCCCATACGCTTAATTGATGCACAAGGTCAAACCAAACTGAAATCAATGTTGCAGGACACTCCAGAGTTGCAAAAGAAACCTCCTAAAGACGCAAAAAGCTTACCCATAATCCCCATGACACTTTATACGAAACAAATAGATGAGAAACAGTTTCATGAACCAACCCGCAAAGCGGACAAGATGGGTCTTCAATCCCTTGCACCCCACATTTAATTAATTCCACTTTGATTTCTACCTTCTTCTGCACCACCTGCCAGACAAAAGATTCGACTCGAGGAGGAGCCACGCCAAACCACACGTCTTTCCCACAAAAAACTATCATCCGAGTTATCAAGAAGGATTCTAAGGCAAGATTTAACTGAAAAACGATCATCACCTTCTCCTAACCATTCAAGTAGGGATGGGCATGGGTCGGATTTTTGGTCCACCCGACCCGAGAACAATGACTCCTCCACCCGAAATCCGACCTGACCCACATAACATATACCCTCCACCCGGCCCGAACCTGACCCGACTTTTTGAAATAAAATTCGAACCCGACCCGAAATAATAAAAAAATATTATTTTTATACAATAAAAATAGTGATTTAATTGAAAAAAAATAATATATAGAGGTATATTATTGTAATTATTACTAAATATATAAGGTAAAATTAATTTTTTTCCGGTCGGGTCGGATATTTTTTCACCCTAAACCCGAATCCGACCCGAACACCACCTTTAAAAAAACTTGACCTGAACCCGATTTTTTTAAAAAATCCCCGACCTGATCGGGTCGGGTTGGAACTTCGTCGGGTTCGGGTTCCATGCCCATCCCTACATACAAGACTATCATCAATCAACAGCGAAAGATTGAAATTATACAACAGTAAAATAAGTTCATTCCATTGTAGCATCTCCCAATCGACAAGATTTCTTCTCATAGAAATGTCCCAAAAACAGCTTGACGAGTTTGATTTCTTGAAATCGACAATCTTCCCCTCCTTGTTATTCGATAGAGTGAATAGTTAGGAAACCGTTCTTTCAATGGAACTCTATCCATCTAAGCATCATGCCAGAACATAATTTTGTCTCCATTGCCCACCTTCATTATAAAGTCACTCTGCAAATAAACCCCAAAATCATCATCGAATAGCAATTTTTAACACCACCTTTTTGTATCCAATATGCTTTGTAAGAGGCCAAATTTTCCATCCCCATTTAATTCGGATCAATTTTGTTATTGCAACAAATAATCATTTTTCACTAAGAGTTTTTCTCGTCAGCAAATTTCCACGTCCATTTTCCCAATAACGCTCTGTGCATAAGCTATAAATTTGGAACCCTAAGACCTCCCAATGTCTTAGGCTTGCAAACGGTAGACCAATTTACCCAATGAATTTTGCTTTTTGCAACCGAATCCCCCCCAAGAAAATTTTCCATAATCGAATTAAGCCTCTTCAGTACACAGCTCAGCATTCTAAAAATTGACATGAAATATATCGGCAAGGAGCAATGAACAGATTTTGTCAACACAACTCTACCAGTAATAGACAGTGAAGCTGCATTCCACCCAACTAATTTCTTGTAGAACTTTAAAAAAATCGGATCCCATAATGATACTGAATTTTTCTTCGTCCCAAGAGGTAACCCCAAATGATCTGTTGGGAATGAGCCCACTATGCACCCTAGCAGCCCACTCACTAATGACCCCTTCATTCACGTTGATTCCGAATAACCTAATTTTGGATAAATTAATTTGCAATCCAGATATCATCTCAAAGATTAGAAGTACCCTTCTCACATTCTTCAGTTCCTCGATCGAAGCATTACAAAAAATTAATAAGTCTTTTGCAAATTGGAGGTGAGAGAGCTCAAAGGAATTACCCTGACTTCCAATCTCAAATCCTCTAAACAAGCTTAATCTCGCAGCTTTTGACAACATCAAACTCAATAAGTCACCGACCAAATTAAAAAGGAGAGGAGAAAGCATCCCTGTCGAAGACCCCTCGTGATCCAAAACTCATCCGAAGGAAAACCATTCACTAAGACCGAGATTGAAGCAGTAGCACATTTTCATCCAAGATCTCCACCTCTGTCCAAACCCCATGCAATCCATGATTTTCAGTAATAAATTCCAATAAATTGAGTCGTATGCTATTTTGAAGTCAACCTTAAACGCTATTCCTTCAAGGCCTTTCATTCTCCAACAATCAATCCTCTCGTTCGCAATAAACGAACAATACATAATATGCTTTCCCGAAATGAAAGCAAATTGGGAAGAGTCAACAACTGCATCCATACATTGCCGTAATCTCCTAGATAACACCTTTGACTAAATCTTATAATGCCCTCCCACTAGGCTAATCGGTCTAAAGTCCTCAATACTTTTCGAACTCATCTTTTTTGGGATAAGGGTAATGAACGAGTGATTTACCCCTTTGTCCCATCTTTTTCTCACATAGAAGTCACTGAGAAAGCTCAAGATGACCTCTTTTAAGTTTGACCAAAACTTTTTGAAAAATCTCATTGTCAATCCATCTGGCCCCGGAGCCTTATTACTTACTATCCAAGAACGATATTGCATCCCAAACTTCTTCCTCCGAGAATGATCTTTCCAAAAACAAATTCTGCTCATTTGAAATCTTGGAGAAATTGAAATCCAATGCCTCTACCTCAATTGTAGGATTCCTATTATAAGCTTCTTTGAAAAAAATTACTACATTTGATTTAATAACTTCAAGATTCGTCGTTAACTGACCACTCACTTTCAACGCATTAATAGCATTCACCTTCCTCTATTTCCAGCACACTAATTGAAAAATCTAGTGTTACGATCGACCTCAAAACACCATTTCACACTTGATTTTTGCAGCCAAACCATCTCTTCTTTTTTGTATAGATCCCAAAGCTTCATTCTAGCCATACCCAAAGACTCCATAGAGACAGAAGAAGACCCTTGTTGCATGTCGAGTTATGCATCATGTATATATTTTTCTAATTCCGAGATGGATCCTTGCATTTTGCTAACACTGGCTTTAGACAACTTCTCGATTGTCTCTTTAGAACATTTAAGTATACTGGAAATCCGCCCATCCTTACTTTCTGAAATTTCTCTACCATTCTTTCTTTGAAACATTCCTCCTCTAGCAAATAATTGAACAATCTAAATGGTTTCGGCCCCCAATTCAAAACTTTACTTTCCAGACTAATTGCATTATGGTTTGATAAAGATCTCAGGAGCAAACTCTGATTTAGCACTGGAAACACTGACAAGAAATTCGAATCTACCAAAAAATTGTCCAATCTAATGAAAGTAGAAAATTTCCCTGTTGTTACACCAAGTGAAGTTACCACCCGACAAAGGGAGATCATTCGAACTAGCCTTATGCTCAAACTCATTAAAGATTCTCATCGAGAATCTGTTCTGACCTCTCCTCATTTTCTCTTCTTGTGACAGATATGCATTGGAGTTACCTCCCAAACAAATGAGACCATCCAATTGCAACACAAAGGACAACAACGCCTCAAAGAAAGATTCTTTCTCCGAATCCACTGATGGCCCATACACATTAATAAACCAACATTTAACAGACAATTCTCTTAAATTACCTTTAACTGCAATAAACCTCTCCTGAACACATTCGTCCTTCACCTCCATTTTGCTTTCATCCTATAGACTTATCAATTCCCCTGCTGACTCAACCGCGGGATATGCCACATACCCACTCAATATATTCCCTCCTAATCTCCTTAGTAAGGAAAGATTAACATTCTCCACCTTTGATTCTTGGATAAACATCAACACTGATTTCTTCCCTATAACAATATTTCTCACAACCCTAGACTTTTCTCTTCTCCCCAAACCCCTCACATTCTACAATAAAATACTTAAACTTGACATAGGAAGAAGAAAGAAAATTACCTAATAACCACATGAAATCAGATTCCACCCCCTTCCTCCTCTCCTCTATCAAAGAATTCACCTTTTTCATAAAAGCTTTCTTGCCTCCTCGAAAGGTTACACCCATCAAATTGCTAACTTCCCAGCTTGCCCGGACTTCTTCCTCCTTGTCCAAACAATGGCTTGAAGTCTTCGATTGATCCTTTTTTCCTCTCTCGAATTTCCTCTTCCCCTGCTCCTACTATAAACTCTATTGAAAAATTTGCTCCCGGTTCTACTGATTGACACACCTTTCTATAGTGCGACCACGATTTTGAGGACCCATTCTCTGGAAAGAGGACCTTGACATGGAAATTGATTCCTCGCCCCATTTATTATTATTATTTCGAGAATCAACTGAGCCCCTTATTCGGTTTCCATTACTGCTTAGAAAATCCAAGGACCTGAATCCTACGAAATCCAAGTTGGATAGATCCGCCTTTGCTGGTTCCTGGATCAGCCCGCTCATTGACTGTATTTTCCCTAGTAGAATTGGGTCTGTCTGGCCCAAAAATTAATTCCTCTAATCCGCCCATAATTCTCATCATCTATTCCCAACAAACTCTGATGCATAGGGACTACACAGTTCTCCTGCGTCTTTATATCAGTTCCCGCCGATTTAAATTGCCTCGAATTAGTTGCCTCATTAACTCCATGAGCGAAAACCTCCATGCCACCTGTCAAAAGTTCTTGATCCGAAGTCTCCACTCTCTCCTTGGACATCTGTCCTGCCTCTTGGACTTCCCCCTCCCTACCCTCAAGATCCCCTCAACGTCGCACTGGTTCTCCGGTGATCTATCCTCCCATTCATCAAAAAAATTCTCCTTCACTGTCTCCATTCAATACCTCAGAATATCCATCAACCGACAACTCTACTTTAATATTTATCACATACAACCTACCATTAGTGTTGATGGAAATCGATTCCGGGAAATCAAACGGACTAGCCGCCCTAATAACCATCTGCTCTACTCTGCAATCCAACTTCAACAGTGTTTCCTTCTTGATCTCCACTAACTCTCCCCACCGTGAAGCCAGGTTGGAGAAGAAGACTTCACTCCAACAATTCAAAGGTACTCCAATTAAAGACACTTCGCAAAATGCCAAAGGAACACCCCCTTCCGATGAAACTGGCCTCAACCAGTTGAAACAAAAATTTAACTCCAAAGCTTTTCCTTTCAGAGCTTTCATTTTTTCTTCTTCCGACTGAAAAGTAACTAGACATGAGTTCCTGGCGTACCCCATCTCACCACTTTTGCATGTATACCTTCATTGTGCAGAGCTCTTTGAATTAGTTCCACATCATACGATTGTTTATGAATGCTAGTCAACAACCTCTTTAACCTGCACCTTTCCTCCACCGAGATGAAAACATAGTAGGGATCCTTAGAGACTACTCCACTCGTCAACCTGTTAAATGCCCCTACTGGTAATCTCTTGTTTCCCATCAGTTTATCACAATAAGAGCTCCCATCATTAAACTTATTGAACACCATGCCTTTTCCTCCAAAGCTCTATTTGAATCGCCACCCACTTCGTATCCCCTTCATCGTCTGAACCAATCTGATTCTTCCTACTTGTTGATTTCTGATACTTCGCCACCTCACCGAAAATCTCCTCCCATCAATCATCGCATTATCTACCTTTGCTACTGCTTGCAAAAGATCCTCCCGACTCTCGAAGTGAACAAATGCAAACGTTGAATCCATGTACTTCGGTCTCTTGTTGACCATGGGAATAAACACCTTAACAACCTTGCCATGGAGCTTGAAACATTCCCACAAAGCACTCCTACTAACTCTTTTACTCAGATTAATTGATGCTCCACTTAGTGGAGTTCTATTCAGAGGCGGTTGATTTAGTTTTAATGGTTACAGGTGTTGGTTTTCTTTTCTATTATGTCCTTTTGCGTTGTTTTTTTTCCTGTTGCTGGAGGTGTAACTTAGAAATAGGATGATTGTCTCTGGGGTTTTGTGGTTGAGGATGTGATAGTTTTAGGTGATTCTTTTTTTGTAATGGTGTATATCTCCGTATGAGGGTATTCCGTGTTTTCATATGTATTTGATGTTCTATTCAATAAACTATGAGGTATTTTTTTCTTCCTTCCAATGTTCGTTAACATACTTCTTAGTATGTGGACGAATACGAGGGGAGTTTTTAATGAGACCTCCAACTTTTATCAAAAAAGATTATCGACAAAAGCAGACCAAGGGGCTCCAGTAGGGAGAGAACCTTGAACTGACTTTTCACTTACCATTTTTTTTTGCTTAAAAAAATATCCAAAATATCTTTTTCGGGGTTCAATAAGTGAAATTAGAGGTAAATCATCATTTGACTCTCCACTAGCTGCTAAAGGCGCTGATCTTTTATGGCAAGTTTAGTTTAAATTATTTTTATAGTGAAATATATTTTGTAGTGGGCTTTCATGTGTAAATGTTGCAGAAAAGGCACGTTTGCTCGTAGTTAAGATGTATTATAATGGCATTGTATTATTTTTCAGTGATGAAGGGAAGGTTAGGAAGGTCTTGAAGGTGGAGCCACTTCCTGATGGGTCTGGTCATTTTTTCAACCTTGGTAATGCTCATTTCCCTTGAATCCTTTCCAGAAATTAAAGTTCATTAATACATCACTTAGATCCTTTTCAGTTGTAAGTTTGATGTCACTCTAGCCTTAGGATATGTTTCATTGTTTGGTATAGAGTTTTCTCATTGTCAAATGTCAAAAATGTGCTAGAGGAATTTGCTCCCATGCTGCTGTTGTTAAATGAAACCAACTTTGATATATCTTCTAATCAGAACTAATGGAATGGGAAAGATCAACTTATATTGTGAACAACACCACCTTTTTTTTCTCTTTTTTCATATCATGCTCTTTGTGATTATAATCAATCTGTGACAGATTGAGGCCTAACATTTCTAATGGCTTTTGTTGAAGGTGTTCAAAACAAACTTGTAAACATGGACGAAAGCATTTATATTCCTATCACCCTAGCAGAGTTCACTGTCCTGAAATCAGCATTCAGCGTATGATGCATCTCTCTCTATTTTCACCTTTATAGACTTTTTATCTGTGGTGTTAAGATGTATCATGACATGCTTTTAAGTCATAAGATGTATGGCAGAGGATCAATGCCATCTTGGATCAAATCTTATTTATCTCGGGCAAATTTTGTTCAACAAATACTACTTGCATAGCAGCATACATAAATTCCAAAGGGATGACATGTTTGAATAAGTGTTTGGAAATGGCATCCCACACCCCAAACTTTGCTTTCCCCTTAATATTTCTTTTACAAGTGAAAGACCATTGAACACGAGTCCATTAGTATCATGATTGTTTTCTAACTTGCTTTGAACAACCCTTTTCTTTCCTCTGCAGTTTATTTTGCCGTATCTTTTAGGATGGCATGCCTTTGCGAATTCAACAAAACCGGATGAGGCAAGCCGTGTGAATAATGCCAATCCTAGATATGGAGGAGACTACGAATGGAGCAGATAGTTCAAAATTTTGTCAGAGGACGACCTTTCTAGTTTACCTAGTGTTTTTCCAGAATGTTATAAAATTGTTGTTGGATTGTGCTTTAGACTCTTGATAGCGATTCAAGTTTGTTTCGAATGATTGTTAATTTATTTCTCAAATTTTGTTGCGTCGCAAATAGGGTTGTAAATAGGTTGTGAACTACTCAAGTTTAATTCGGTCAAAACCTGATAAATACTAGACAATAATTGACTTGATTCAAGCTCGATTAAGTTTTTAACAAGTCGAAACGAACTATTTGATACTCGAGTCAAAAAAAATTGTAAATAATTCGAAAATATAATATATTAATATATTAAGATTTTATTTTTATAAAAATAAATTTTCAATAATTTTAGTATTTATGTGTTGATTTTTAAAAAAGTGTAATATAATATTTTCATGTATTTAAGATATATTTGTATTTTGTTGGATAATTGAAATTTGTAAGTTTTCCCAATTATATCCGTTTTATAAAATAATTATATTAAAATGATTAAAATATATATTTTACATCTTAAATTTTCTTTTTTCTTTTCCTAGCTTTCCTCCAAATTGAGGTAAAAAAGAAATAGTGCGTTTCAAGGGAAACCAAGGGATATTGAACTCCTTTTACTTTCCCTTGCTTAAATAATAAAAATGTTATTCGAACAAGGGGAAGATGCTCACTTCTCCTTTCCCTTATTTATTCGAGCATACGGTAAAGGTTTCAAAAAATTATGAATCAAACCTCTGCGGGCTTCTCGGCTCTTCATCTAAATTATCAATACCATCTCTTCTTGAATCCTTCTTACTTCCGGATAAAATATCTGCAACGTCTTTCATACCCTGAAATAAACAAGTCAAGATTTAGATTAGGTATTACAATGAATAAAAAAGAATAGAAAGTTCAACCTAGATAGAAAAGATGAGTGAGAGAGAAAGAGACGTAGAGAGAGAAAAGTTGAAAGATAAGTCGTCCTCCGACGAATATTGGAGATCTTTCGTCGATAATCTAAGTAAGAGAGTTTCAAGACGAGCGTTAAGTGAATTGTTTCTCTTCCAGGGTCCTGTAGTGAGAGTTTTCATTCCTAATAAAACAAAAAATACAAATCCTCCACATTCGCTTTTGTGTAGTTTGGCAATGAGGCAGGTTTGAGGAAGGCAATACAAAACGTCAACGGGTCGTGGATAGATGGGAGGAAAGTATCAGTTGGAGTTGCAAGATATCAGGAAGCTCGATCAAGGATAGTGGGGACAAAACGTTCACTGACTAATGTTTCAAGGCATAATATAGAAGTAACTTCAAAGCTAAATGAGAAAGATGATTTTAACAGGAGTTTAAGAGATGAGATATCATATAAGGATGCTTTGTTGACGAACAGAAGGTAGAGGAGTGTTTACGAATTCAGGGAGATTAGGAACGACAGTCTAAACAGGGTGAAAGGAAAGAAGAATATTTGGGAGATGCATATCCCGTCCGAAAGCTCAAGATGGGTTAAAAGTTCACTAACGGGAATTGTCAAACACTCTTTCGAGCTGGAGTTGGTTAAGAAAGCTTTGGCTAATGAAGGCTACGAAGTTCAAATTGCTAGGTGGGGGTACGTTTGGAATTCTTGTGTACTCACCTTCAAATCGACTGATGAGATGATGGAGGCATGGACGAAGAAGAGTGAGAAGTTATACTTTTGGTTCGATCGGTTGGCACCTTTGCTGAATGAAGTTGGGGTACCAATGGCTTACTGCCTGGTAGAATTATACGGTGTACCTCTTTTATGTTGGCATGATTTTTTTTTGGAACGATTAGTTGGGAGGTGGGGGACGGTGGAAGGCATTCAGGATTCTATAAAAAATAGGGAAGACCTCTCGACGGTGAGATTTCTGATCAGGGTAGCGAGCCCGTTCAATGTTCCGGAGGTGGTCACTATAGGGTCGTACGGAATGTCTTTCAAAGTAAGAATTAAGTTGGGTTCAGCGTCTATTACTTCAACTTTTTTCTAAGCAAAACGCCAGCGAATGTTTCCGATCAAAGAGACATTGGAGAAGTGCTGTCGGAGGAGGTAGCTGTCAGTCGAAAGATAGCTGACGAGGAAGGTTCAGATCGGTCAGAAGAAGATGCACGCAAAATATTCGACACGTGGATTAATCAAAGTGTTTCTTCTAGATTTTTTGGAGTTGGTCGGGGTCAACAGTTTCCAATGTCAAGCAGGGATGAGAAATGCATTAATAGCGGGGTGTCAGGTTTTTTTAGTTTTGGGAGAAACAAAGTTGGGGAGTATGCGGGTCTGGGCATTAGGAATTCAAAAGAATTTGTTATTGGGTCGCAGGCACAATCAGAGGATAATAGTGAGCCTGATTCTCCAATCCTAAAGATTATTCCTTCTGGTTCAGGAATCAAGTTAAATGGGTTTGGGCAAATGGGTCAGAAACAAAATTTAGTTTTGTCTTGCAATAAAGAGGATAAAGTTAACTGTGGGAAATCTAATAGTTGTTTTCAAGCAGGGGTGGGATTAGTGGCTCCAAAAGCAAATTTAAAGTTAGTTGGGTCTGCTGCAGATTTTACTAAGATTGTTTCAAGGGGAAGATCATAATACTGTTCAACAAGAAGATTATCCATGAAGAGTTCCCTGATTGAGAGGAAAAGGATAGGCAGCTATAAAAGGGTTTATAAAAGGTTTAGGGAGAGAAAATTCTAGTTTAGAAATGAGAAAAATTTAATTTCTGAAATAGAGGGGGATATAGGCAGACAGAGGGAAAGGGCATTAGTATTATATCCGGTTCAACCTGTAAACCCGGAGATAGAGATGAGTAGGGAAGGTTGCATGGAATTTTTTTAAGAAACAAATAGAGAACTGAAGTCTTGATAGTGAGGACGAAGGGTGGTTTTCGGAAGGTGACAGTTCCGGCTCCAAAAAAAAATCAGCAGAAGAGTTAAAAGATTTTTGATAAGGGATGCCTTAGATCAAGTTAACACTTCTACAGTATCCACATCTGCATTTTCGGTACTGTTGGAGGAAGCTTTGGCTACTTGGGAAATAAGTAAGCTATTAGGAGTATCCTTTAAGGGGGGAAGAAAGCATTTCGGGAAAAAATTATAAATTTGGAGAAATGCATGAGTTCAGCTAAGTGAGGTGTTTAATTTTTGGGGGAGATTAGGTTCTTGATTATTTATTATGTTGACAACGTGTTGTTCAAAAAATGGTTTCTAAGAACAATCCATCATTTATATTTCTGCAAAAAACCAAAGTTGAGAAGTTACCAAGGTCATTCTTTAGAAGAAGTGGGTTGAACAACATTCAAGGGTTTATTGAATCGCCAGCTGTAGGCTCTTCAGGAGGTATTTTAAGCTGCTGGAATGACAACATTTTCTAAGTGGAAGATCAACATATCAGCAGAAGATACATTGTTATTTTTGGGAAATTTCAAACTAATCAATTTAGGTGTGGATTCAATAATGTTTATGGGCCTTCAGTGGAGGATGAGAAAGCTAGTTTTTTTTAGGAACTATGTATGTTTCTTAATTGTTACAATTTACCTTTATATGTGGGAGGGGATTTCAATGTCTACTTATCAGAAGAAGAAAAGAAATGTAGAGCTCAAAACAGAAACTCTATGGAGATTTTTAGACATTTTATCTAACAAGCTGGCCTAATTGATCTACCTTTATCTGGAGGAAGGTTTACATGGTGTAATAATCGGGAATTTCCTACTTTTGTTAGACTGGACAGGTTCTTTGTAGATGTTAATTTCTTGACAGCATTTCCTGAAATCACTCAATCTTTACTTCCTAAGTCTGTCTTTGATCATAATGCAATTATCCTTGAGAATGGTGGAGTAAATTGGGGCAAGAAACCTTTTAAACTTTACAACTATTTGATGAATGAGGATGGTTTTGAGGAGCTGGTCGATTAATCTATTAAAGATTGCAAGAAAAATCAGAAAAGAGTTGGAATTTTGAGCATTCTAAAAAGTACGAAAATTGCTATTAAAAATTGGGCTGGAAAAAGATATAAGTTTACAGGTGCCTTGATTCTGGACTTAGAAAGCAAAATTCATGAGTTAGAGGAGGATTTTTAGCAACGGCAAGATTCGAGGGGAAGCAAAAATGCAACATATTTAATTTCTTTGAGGGTTGAATTATGAAGGCTTTATAAAATCGAGGAGCATATTTGGTACCGGAATTCTAGGGCGAAATGGGTGAAAGACGGTGACCGCAATTCATGATTTTCTATACATGTGCTTCCATTAGGAAGAGGACAAATTCCTTGTTTGCTTTTAACATTAAAGGTGAGATCATCAAAGATCCGAATCTCATCAAGGCAAGTTTTTGGGACTACTTTTTCGAAGTTTATAATTTTCGTTCAACCTTGGAAGTGGAAGATTTAAAGCTGAATTTTTCTAGAATTTCCTTGGAGCAACGACTATTTTTAGAAAATAAGTTTTCAGAGAAAAAAATTTGAGGGCTTTGAATTCGTGTGATAGCAGTAAAGCTCTCGGGCCTGATGAATTAAATATGGGGGTTTTCAAAAGGTTTTGGTCCTTCCTAGAAGAATATATTCTAAAATTCTTCCACAACTTTTACCTGGAAAAGAATGGGAACATGGAATTAATCATACTTTCATAACTCTCATCCCGAGGGTTCCAACATTGGTGGCTTAGAAGATTACAGACCTATCAGCTTAGTATGAGGGATGTATAAGATTCTTTCGAGGAGATTGAGATGTTGCATTAATGATATCATCAGTTCTTCACAATTTTCTTTCATTCCTGGTCGACAAATCCTGGATTGCTCTTTTATTGCTAATGAGGGAATTGAGTTTTGGAGGAAAAAAAGACTAAAGGGTTGTGTGTTCAAGGTGGATTTCAAAAAGGCCTATGACACGGTGGATTGGCCAATTTTGTTCAAAGTGACAAAGAAGATGGGTTTCGGAACCAAATGGTGTAGTTGGATAAGAAAATGAGTTACAATCGCCTCGATATCAATTTTGGTTAATGGGGTTCCTTCTGAGGAATTTCCAATGGCAAAGGGTCTTACACAATGCTGCTCTCTATCCCTTCTGTTGTTTAACTTAATTGGAGAACTTCTCAATTTATTGCTTCTTAAGTCGCTTTCTTCGGGTTTGTTATATGGTTTGGTGATAGGTAGAAATAAGGGTTCTTTTAACTTGTCTCATCTGCAATTTACATATGATCTTATCATTTTCTATGATGCCTCGAAGATGCAGATATTAAATGTTAAGAGGGTTTTAAGAGTTTTTGAAGTCATGACTGGTCTTCAACTGAACCTCAATAAAAGTAGATTATTTGGTATAAACACTAGCGAAAATGAGGTAAAGGAGTGGGTGAGAGCTATTGGTTACTCAGTTGGAAGTCTTCCTTCTGATTACCTTGGGTTGCCTCTTGGTGCAAACAGAAATTCTTCATCCCTATGGGATTCGATTATCTAGAAATTTTACAAGAAGCTTGTCGGTTGAAAGGCAACAACACTTTCTTTGGCAAGGAGATTGGTCTTGTTAAAGACGGTATTATGCTCGCTTCCAACTTATTACTTGTCCCTATTTAAGATTCCTTCTTCGATTAATAAATAAACTTAATTCCATTATGAAATTTTTTTCATGGGGATGATGAATAGAGAACAATAAGATTCATTGGGTTATTTGGTCCACAGTGTGTAAATCCAAAAATGAGGGTGGAGTGGGTGTGTTGGACCTAAATGTTTTTAATAGAGCTCTCTTAGGAAAATGGTCTTTGAGGTTTGCTAATGATAAGAAGTCCGTTTGGAGGAAGATGATTTGCAGCAAGTACAATCTTGACTCGACATTGTTATTGTTTAACAGCAAGATTCCTGATAACCGTCGTTTTGCTATCAAAATAATTACTGGCTTCTTAATAAATAAAAATGAAAATGTAGTATAGAGAAGCAGGGTCGATCCACAGGGACTGTGGTGTTTCTGATTTAATAAAACTCTTTCTTGATTTTAGAAAAAAGATAGAATTCCAGATGAAGTTGAAAAGATATATTAAAAATAAATAAATAAAAAAATAATATAATAATAAATATTAATAGTAATAAATATAAAAGGGAATTTTTTTTAAAGTTGTGGTTAAAATAAAAATTAAGAATTAAATAAAAGAAAAATAATTAAATAAACAAATTAAAGAGATTAAGATAAAGAGAAACTTATTGTGAAAACAACCTCAAATTCCTCGGATCATCGAAACAAATTTTACTTCAAGATTCACGTAAGCTTACAAGAACAATTATTCGCTTCCAACTCGGATTGTGTCGTTTCAACAACAACCGATTCCGATCTCAGTTTCCTCTTAGCAAACAATTTTGCTAAGTGTGTTCTCGGGAAGTTGAATATGATTCAATAAGAAAATCCTTCTTCAAACATTAACCATAACAATATCCGAACCAATGTCGAAATAGTTTTGATTTGAAAAGTAAGCTTCAGAAAACAGGGAGAAAATCCGAAGCGATTTAAGTACCTTGCAATTCTCACGTTTGGAATTAAGTCTTCGCTTTAGTCTTCGGCTTGAAAGAAAATTAGCTAAGCATAACCAAAATCATACTTAGCATAATAGAAAAGTATGCGAAAAATAGAGAGAAAGCTAGAGATAAAAAGAAGATTTTATTCTCAAATGAGAGAGATGCTTCTAGGCTCACCCTTAGAGGGTATTTATAGCCTTCAAAATCCTAAAAACAAGCTAAAACATATTAAATCCTAATTAAAACACTTAAAACTATTTAAACTAAAATACCTAAAAATAATATAATATAAAATAAATCTTAATTAAAATACTAAAACCTATTTAAACTAAAATACAAAGATAAAGATAAAATATAAAAATAATATCTTAAAACTTAATTAAAATACTAAAAACCTATTTAAACTAAAATACAAAGATAAAATATAATGTTTAAAATATTATCCTAAATTTGAGTTTAATCCAAATCCAAATTCGAGCCAGCTTTGATTCCGAAAATAAAAAATCTGCAGAATTATGTCCTTTTTGTGCAATTTCCATAATCTTACGTCCTGTATAGAAAATGAATTAAAATGAACAAATAAGCCACAAAAATCAATGATTAAAGAGTAATTTAAAAGTAAAATATTAACTAAATTAAGCACTTATCAAATTCCCCCTCACTTATTCAATACTTGTCCTCAAGCATTCTTCAATTAGCATATCAAAATCATAAGTTGTCATCTTCAATTTCAATTTATTCCTCAAACTTCCAATCGAATTAAGTCCATGACATTTGTCGAATTCAAGTTACAATCAAGAAAAGACATAACCAAGAAAATTTAAAGTAGGCAAGATATCTCAATTAATTGCCAACTTCAATGAAACATGACTCAATACCTCACAAAGATTCACACATATCCGCTCAAAGTGTTTGGGGTAAATGGAACCGCTCAAACTGAAACTAACCAAAATATTACCATAGGCTTGGAATCCAACCAAGTCTCCACCACGAAAAATGAACATAATGCAATAATAAAGGGGTCTTTAAATAAGGTGTAACGGGGCTTAGGTTAGGGTAAGGAAAGGCCGAAAAGAAAGATTTAAAATACCGAAACAAGAGATCAAAATAATTAAGAACAATCCACGAATTAACATGAAGCGCAATAAAGAACAAAACAAGAAAAAAGAATAGATGAAAGACAATTGAAGCAATCGATTTTTTTCTTTCCTTTTTTTCGAACAAAGGGTCTTTTTTTTTGTTCGATACAGTGAACAACTTGTTTTTTTATAAAGATTGAATTTTTTTCTGGAACAACAATGATACAAGATCTCAAGTCTCGGTAAGGGTGTGAAAAGAGAAAAAAAAAGGCTTCGGGTTTAATTATGAGGTGTAAAAACAAAGAAAGGGAAATAGACTCAAATATGGTTCACTAGTAGATATATAAATGGGTAGGTTTTTTGGGAAAAGTGGGTTTATCCTAGGTGCCCCTATCACATTAAAACATTACGTTCAACATGTAGTCTCGATATGTATTGTGATTACAAGTTCTAGAATATCCTAATTAGTTCGGCTCACACAAGTCAAACAATGAGCAAGAAAGAAAATGTATGCTCGTTAGGCTCAAATCTCACAAGAAAAGTTTATATGCATTGAGTCAAGTTCATCTCTATTGACAAAAGCATGAAATATCAATACTCAACAAAAAATTCACTAGCTATATCAATCACCAATCATGCAAATTAATTTCGATAAAAAACATGGTCATAATCCGAAAGGAAGCAAGAGTATAAAGCGAAATTCAAGACTAGCAACCAACGATTACAATATATCAACATCAGAATAACTCAATTTCAAACGATTAAACAAGTCAAGAAAAAATTGACACATGCTTATCCTTCCCCCCTCACTTATTCCGTTTTGTCTCAAAACGTATATCAAATTTAAAAAACAAAGAGAGGAAAAAAAAAGAATACTCTCCAATCTAGTGGCGATCACGGCCACGTCGAGACGAGCTGTTGTAGAGTAGACTGTCCGATGATGCACTGTTCTATTCGAACTTTTCTGCACAATTCAAACCAAATCTGTTTTTTTTTTCTGCACTGCATTGTTTGAATTTGCTGTGTATTTTTCTGCACTGTTCGACCCAAATCAGTTTTTTCTGCACTGTTCTGTTCGAATTTTTCTGCACAGTTCGAACCAAATCAATTTTTCTGCATTGTTTTTTCGTTAAATATTCGATCGGAATTCAGATCTTTTCAGAAAAAATAAAATTAATCAAAATAAAATAAATAGGATGAAATAAAGTTCGCTAAAAAATAAAACAAAAATAAAAAAAATAAAAACAAAAATATAACGAAATGGGTTGTCCCCCATCAAGCGCTTTTGTTTAACGTCGTTAGTTCGACGACCTGATTTTTCAAAGCGTGGGTTCCTCTAAATTGATTTCTTCAATTAGATCAACTGGAGCATTTTCATAATATGACTTCAATCTTTGACCATTAACTTTAAATCGTGCTCCTGAGTTATCTACAATTTCAACAGCACCGTGAAGAAATACTTGAGTAACTGTAAATGGTCTGAGCCATTTTGATTTGAGTTTTCCTGCAAAAAGTTTAAATTTGAAGTTAAATAATAAAATCTTTTGACCGACAAAAAAAGTTTTAAAAGAAATTCTACTATCGTGAAATTCTTTTGTTTTTTCTTTAAATATCCGAGCATTATCATAGGCATTTCTTCGGATTTCCTCAAGTTCTTGAATGTGTAATTTCCGAGCTTCACCAATTGCATCAATGTCCATGTTACATTGTTTAACGGCACAATAAGCCCGATGTTCTAACTCGACCGGTAAATGGCATGGTTTATCGAAAACAAGCCAGTATAGTGACATCCCAATGAGACCATTATAAGCAGTTCGATATGCCCAAAGTGCATCAATTAATTTTAAACTCCAATCCTTTTGGTTCGGTTTAACAATTTTCTCAAGAATTGTTTTAATTTCTCGATTTGATACTTCTGCCTGTCCATTTCTTTGTGGATGGTAAGCGGTAGCAATTCTTTGAGTTATTCCAAATTTCTTCATTAGTGAATCGATTACTCGGTTGATGAAATGTGTTCATCTGTCGCTTATTATAGCCCGTGGTGTGCCAAACCTGGAAAAAATATTTTTCAAAAAATTAACTATAGTTTTAGTATCATTATTCCGAGTGACTTTAACTTCCACCCATTTAGAAACATAATCCACAACTAAAATAATATAAGTATTTCCAAATGACGAAGTAAAAGGACTCATATAGTCGATTCCCCAAACATCAAAAATTTCACAAACTTGTATAGAATTAAGTGGCATTTCATTCCTACGGCTTAAATTACCTGTACGTTGACATCTTTCACTAGTTTTCCAAAATAGATAAGAATCCTGAAAGATGCTAGGCCAATAGAAACCACATTCAAGAATTTTATGAGTTGTACGTTTTGGTCCAAAATGACCACCGCAAGAGTAAGAATGACAAAATTGTAAAATTGAGTTTACCTCACTTTCGGCAATACATCGTCGAATTACCTGATCCGAGCAGTGCTTCCATAGATAAAGATCGTCCCAAATATAGTATCGGGATTCTCGCTTAATTCGATTGATTTCAGCTCTTGTCAAATCTAATAGTAACTTACTTGTGGCCAAATATTTAACCATGTCTGCAAACCATGGAGTTATGCTTTGCGCCACCATCAGTTTTTCTTTAGGAAATTCTTCTCTAAGTGGTGGTTCGGATGTGGAAAGGGGAATTCGACTCAAGTGATCTGCTACCAGATTTTCACATCCCTTTTTGTCTTTAATTTCCAAGTTAAATTCCTGTAAAAACAGGATCCACCGGATAAGCCTTGGTTTTGCTTCATTTTTGCTCATCAAATACCTTATAGTTGCATGATCAGAAAAAACAGTAATTTTAGTACCAAACAAATAGGATCTAAATTTTT